TCAAGTCGGAAAAAAAAACAAGAGTGAAACTTTACTCCTACATGGTGTTAACCTCTATGCAGAGTCTGTGATGTTGGGTCTGCCTACGTCTCAACAAAAGATACTGGGGATAAAGCGACAACAACTACAAGAAGATGACTGTCACTTGCTCATTCAATACTGCACAGATGGCCTTCACTGCACAAACTTCCTACTCAGGCGAGACAATATTGGACTCACCGAGGTGTCCTCACAGCTATAATGTGTTAATGTATGGACAGAGAATTGTCATACCTGAAGAAATGAGATCCAGTGTGTTAGATCGCCTACATGAAGGACATCAGGGGATAACAAAATGCAGAGCATTGGCGAGATATTCTGTATGGTGGCCTGGACTTGCAGTACAGCTAGAAAGAAAAGTACAAAACTGCAAAGTGTGTGCCAAAGAAAGGTCAAATTCAACTGAACCACTTATTCCTTCCGAACTTCCAGATCGTCCATGGATGAAAGTTCGTACAGACTTATTTGACTTTCGAAATATGTACTTGTTGTTGACTACAGTATTTTTCTAGATACATCGAGGTCACCAAGTTACCAAATACAACATCAGCAAGCGTCATCAATCAACTCAAATCGATCTTTGATTGGGATTCCGGATATTGTGGTATCTGACAATGGTCCACAGTTTCATCCCAGAACTTCACAACATTCCCCGAGGAGTATGAATTCATGCATTTACAATTAGCCTTCATTATCCACAAAGTAATGGTGAAGCCTAGCGTGCAGTTCGCACAGTGAAAAATCTACTCCAGAAGTCACCTGATGTTTATCTAGGTCTGCTTGCTTACAGATCTACTCTTGTTGGCGGACACAGTCCTGCAGAACTCCTCATGCGGAGACAACTCCGCTCAAGTGTTCCTACTCACTCAGCTCAAGCCCAAGCATCTCAACTTCCACTAATTCAGGGAGGAAGATAAACAGCAGCGAGTCAAACAGAAAGAACTGTTTGATCTGAGACACCGAGCACAAGATCTTCGACCACTCAAACCAGGTGATCATGTGTTTGTGAAAGATGCTGACGGAACTAAACAAGGTTTCGTTCAGAGCGAGGATAAAGCCCCTCGATCATATCACGTGGAAACAGAGGGAAGAGTTGTGGGTAGAAATCGCAAGCATCTCGTCCCAACATTAGCTGGTAATGACCGTCAGTAAAGTTAAGACAGTTCACGGAAATGTGAAAACCCATTCAGCGTACCAGCCTGCAGTGTTCAAGTGAACAATCCAGTTAACACCACAACAAGAAGATTTGGCAGGATGTCAGTGAAACCAAACAGACTGGATCTGTGATTCTGTGGAGATTCACTAATGTGTTAAATGTGTTTAAGAAATTTGATTTGACTTTAAATGCTGATTGCAGAGATGATATTAATTTCAACTTACATTCAGTATTCATTCAAGTAATAGCCTTGGTTAGAATATTGTGCTGTTATCTTAATAATGCATTTTTAAAGGTTTAAGTTCAGTTTTCACTATCAGAGACTCTTACCTTAAAGTGCTGAACTCTTTTATAGTAATTATAGGATTGAATCTCCTTCAAGACTTTCAAAAGAAGATGTAGCAGCGACATAGTCATCAGAGTACCATAACAGTTAGGTTATTAAGACTGTTATAGGTTGTGCCTAATAGTACTTGTCACTCTCCTACCCAGTGTTCCATGCGACCAGCGCCATGTGAAGATTCGTCATTCAAGATATTGCATATGTTTTTTATCTGTTTCATATTGACACATCTCCATATCTAGATAAACATATGTCATAGAATGGTTAACTTTCATTGAGAAAATATCCTAAATCATAAATAACTATTTCCATTTGCGTAGTTATCCTATGTTGACATTGGTTGTACGGCTCCACGTGCTGTCATTGAAGCCCTACGGAGAGCTAGCTAGCGATACGGTCACTTTGATGTGTAAATATGTAATGTCATGCAACTCACTGTCGCAGTTGTAGTATCATCATCATCATATCTATATAATTATGCAAAACAATATTTAAAGCACCCCCAAATACTTGCACTAGTCTGTTCTATTCTGATTTCTGAAAAAACGTGGAGAAACAGGAGAAAAGCCCGGGCACATGATATGCAAATTAGCCTATGACAGTGGCGTTATGCTAAGTCACCACTGCGCTGGAGTATGAGTACTTGTGTACCTAAGTACTCATGGACTGATGACGTCACCACAAATAGTGATGATGTCATGATGACATAGTTAGCTGTCTTGTATTAAAACCTAATCTAAAGCCATCCACTCTCCATCATTGATATAACATAGTACTATAGAACTTAGCCAATTAGATCTAATTACCGTATTCGACATAATAAGCGCCCAGGGCGCTCTCAAAATTAGAAATAGGGGGCTCTTATTAGAATATTATTTTGGTGGAAAAAAACAGAATTGAAAGATAAATTTCGTGGTTTATGCTGACAGTCTGAACTGTTTATATACGACAGATATATTTTTCCAGAATTTAATTGCCCATAATTAAAGGGGCACTGATCTAACGCAATTCCCCGGACTGGTTGTTGCCTTTGTTATTGTTTTTTCCCCCGTGAGTACCCGGATGATACGCAACGATACTGAGCGTGACCAGAGACTGGGCTACCGTCTGCAAGGACAGTTAAATAAACTTGGAGGCTGGAGGCAATATTTGTTTTACGCATTTTTGCATAAACACTGATTGGTTAACTGTGATCTATAAAGATTTCGACAAAGGGCGCATGTTAATTAATTTCTTCAGCCTAAACAAACAGACAAAAAGAACGGCGCGGCTCATCGGATGTCGTCATTGGAAATACCCCAGATGGTTTTAGTTTAATACTAAAAAAAGTATCTATGCAGTGAAAGCATTTTCGGATTTCGGATTGCGTCGATAATACGATTACTACTCCCTTGTTGTCATCCACGTTTTCTCGTATAACCCTACACTTGGGTATTTGTCGTCATTCACTTGATGCTCAGTTAATGAATTTATTACAGGTACAATTAGTGGTAGCACCACTTAGATTACCTGACAAAGGTTCCCATTTGGCATTTATTGTGTCTGGGGTAATTATTCAATCTAAATCCAGGTTTGAAGTGAGATGAAATGTGTGTTATGTAATATGCACGTGGCAGCCCAGCAAGAGATGAATGATCAGTTGATTTACTTTTTTTTGTAAATCAACGGATCGTTCCTAGTCGTCAAAGGATTAACAGAAAATATGTTGATTGATTAATCACTGTTATCTTGCACAGTGGATATGTCAAAAGTGAGTGTTTACGTGTCTAGGTTTACAAAAACAAAGGGAATACACCCATATCATGGCGTGAAGTGCCCATGTAAAAACAACATACTTTGTTCAAAGGGTTAACTGATAATAGGTTGATTGATTGATCATTGTTATCTATCACTCAATGGATTGTTTAGGAACCGTGGACGTTATGAATGTTAGTTGTCACGTGGGCTTTCTCAGCCGACCCTTGAGACTTGACACCTATGTGAAACACCTGAAACAATCCAAGTGATCAGTTGAGAAACGAACACGGGTTATAATATCCCGAAACGATATATATCTTTTAAAATATTTGATTGTTACAGCGACAGGTGACAACGAATAAGTTTCTTTGAACAGCTGCAGACGAGTGGGATATTGTTCCTTTGTGTGGATATTCACGGATACATTCCTCGAACAAGGAAGCTGCCTAAAATTTATACACATAAATTTGGTAGGTTGTAATTATGGTATTTGCATTTTGTTTTCCTTCATTTGAACCGATAATTCGTTCTTGTTTCTCTACGTCTTGGTTGGGAAATTCTTTAATGCGCGATAGACGATGTTTTCACGGGTCTTTTCCGTCAATTTGTAAAATGTTATTCTCTCAGGCAATTTATAAAATGTGTAAATATTTCAGTTATTTGGCCTACAAACATCACAACAGATTATTATGTAGGATTAGAAGCCAAACAACATAGAAATGTGCTCTACAACGTAACATTTTCAGTCTCTTGGTGATGACACTAAACATCAAAATGTTTGGAATTCGTTATCATAATAATACAGATGGAAAAGTTTAAATAACTGAATATTTAGACGTTTAATAAATATGTTACACATTTTGACAGTAAAATAATATACACACTATAAAAAAAGCAATGCTCAGGTGAAATATTTACTTTATGTTGCAAGTCAAAATAGTGTAAACGAAAATCGCAAAATTACCAAGCAAGTGACTTATCAAAACTTCGTCACCATTACCGATGCTACCAACAAAGATACCTACATTTCCTTATTATCTCGAAAACTGTATTTCATTTTGTTGATCAATGTGACCATACGCCCTCATTACTACCGGTATCCATAAAAGTGACTAATGCGCTTACGAATGGCGCAGCAGAGGTCGCGAACTAGTCTAGATTTCTGCTATACATCCAGGTACTCACTGGGAAAAAACAATAACAAAGGCAACAACCAGTCCCGGGGAATTGCGTTAGATCAGTGCCCCTTTAAGGGTGCATATAACACACGAGTGCGTATTATACACGAAAAAATATGTCTTGTGTACATTGATCAATCGGAAGGGATGCTAATTAGGATTGTTCACTTGCCAATATATTAGCAAATATCGCCGTGGGCGCTTATTAGAGCGGGGCGCTTATTACGTCGAATACGGTAAGTCATTGAATAAAACTTCTCCAAACAAAACGTCAAAAGTATCTTAGGGTTTTATTTAAAATTAAGATTGCTGAACTGAAGTGTCTCTTATGTATGCTGACCTCTGCCTTTCGCAGAAGTCGACATGAATATATTGATTTTAATTTGGTACGGCTGTACTGACTCCTTATGTAAACCATAGATCTCACAGATCAGTGGACTGTGACGCGTCCAGTGTGCCAGTCACTGTGTACGTGTTTTAAACGTTTACAGAAAAAAAATATTAATGATTGGCAGACGGTGCCAACGATATTACACACGATGCTTACCATGCAGGTGCACGAGTACAGATGTTCCATTACCGCGGTCAAGAAATACAACATCACTACTTGGAAAAGAGGAAGGAGTTTGCTTGGCCATGTTCCACAGAAGGTCGACTGGTAGCCTGTCTATATAGACATCACTAAGCTCCTTACCGCGATATCTCGGGATTGCAGCGAAGGCTACTTGAATTGGGAATATTAATTTTTCAGATCGTTTGCAAAAACGTACTAGCTAGTAGGGCTGGGACGATTCCAAATTTCCTACCCGGATCCCCGACCCCCTATTACCCGACCTTACCCGGGTACCTACTGCAGATCTGATTGCGCATACACTGAAGTTGACTGAAGCTTTGTCTTAACTGTCTGAAGGAATGTGTGCATAGGCAAAACAAAATGCGAACATTAGCGACCTAGTACTCAGATTATTTATAACCTCCGTTTATTAAGTCTGAGTTTTGAGTTGAGCACGAAACCGGATTTGAGCATGAAATCGTACTCAGGGAAGTTTTATAACCTCGTTTGTGTCGACTTTGTACACGGAATATGTCAGAAATAACATGAATAAAATGGCGAAGTCCTCAGCAATCTTCGCAAATGCAGCTATCCTTTATTAGGATGACATTCTATATTAAATCATTCTTCAAAAGAAGAGTCTTATTGCCGTGGTTTATTTGTTGTTGGTCTGAGAAAGTTACATGGGGATGAGTAGATCTACAGTCTGAAAGATGTAATCAAACATTTGAAATATACTATCTTTATCACACATATGTATTATGATATTCGTACATACGAAATACTTAAATAATTATCAAAATATTGTTTAAAACATTCCTAATTGTCAACGATTACACTTTTAAAAATGTGTTTGTGTTATTTGCAACAATCAAAATACATTAGTGGGAGACACGCTCTGTCCCGGACTAGTTTACCCCGCAAGGAGAAGGGCAAGGTCCCAGTATATAGCTGGAATATTGCTGAGTGCGGCGTAAACAACAAACAAACAAATTTAACAAACACACACAATATTACACCGAAAGCCATTGTTGTTCTGTGAAGATATGGACGATTAATTGATATCCGGATTTTATCATTGCAATAAATGAATTTGTGATATCTCACATTTGACATAAATATGAGGCGGTTATTTTCTCATTGAAAGACACAATTTGTGATAAACAAATAATTGAAACATTTGTGTCTGGGGTTGGGAGCAAATAGTCTTATCACATTAAATTATTGAATTAGGTTTATTTATATATACCTAATTAGCCCACATTGTGAATATGCATGAGAAGTTTGGGATTGTGTACACTACCACTGACGGATCAGCTAGAAACATACCTTCCATTAGAAGCTGCAAGAATATTGTCACTACTATAAAGTTTTGTATCACTATTTTTTACCTCAAAGGATCTAGATCTATACGCAATATTTAGTATGCTCAAAATGTTCTACAGGAACAACTTTTGTCGTTTCTTTGCAACAAATGTATTCAAATAATATCCGACGTTCATACAGTTTGTCCCTCGCTCCAGGAAGGTTCATACCCCAATAAACTCACACAAAGTGAAAGTCAGTTCTTAAGTATTCGCCCAAATTATGTATCACGCACGATGCGTTTTGCTTTGAGTGAGTGGGTGAGTTTTATTTTACTCCGCTTTTAGCAATATTCCAGCAATATCACGGCGGGGGACACCAGAAATTGAGACATGTTAATAAACTGACGTCCAAAAGAAACTTTACCAGAGTTTGAAATCACTCTTGCTCAAAAACAACAAAACATACATGCATGAAGTAAAGTGTATTGAGAAGATCAATATATCAACATAATCAACACTGAAAATGACAATCATACTACGACCGAGAATGGCGTCAGAGCCCCCCAAAGTTGGGTGTGGTTCAGAATCATGGACAATAGGCAGAGTATATAAACAATCGCTCACGTTCAATAACAAGTCATTAGTAGCGTGTGTGACCACCAAATGCCTCAATACAAGCAAAAACTCTTCGACGCACAGAAAAAGTCAGTCGTCTGATGAGGGTCACGTGGGATTTGACGCCATTCTTCTTGGAGGGCCAAGATCAGTTCTTGCCGGTTGGCTGGAGAGTGTGGTCGTTGTCGAACACTACGATCCATCAAGTCCCAGAGGTGTTCTATGCGGGACATGTCGGGTGAGCGTGCAGGCCAAGGCAGGACGTTGACGTTGTTGGCTGCGAGGAAGTTAGTGACAATTCTGGCTGTATGGGCTCTAGCGTTATCATGCTGATAAATGACACCACGTGGCTGCTGTTGGAGAAATGGTAGGACAACTGGACGAAGAATGTTATCCATGTAACGCTGAGCTGTCAAGTTTCCGTCAACGATGACCAGCGGTGTCCTCTCCTGCCCACAGATCCCTCCCCACACCATGACACTCCCTCCACCATATGGTACGACCTCCTGCACGCAACACACCGCCGTCGTTCGTTCACCCCTTCGGCGGGTAAACACGTTGTCTTCAATCAGCCCTAAACATACAGAATCGACTTTCGTCAGTGAAGACAACCCTCTGCCAGTCACGTCGTTGCCAACGTCGTACAGTCCGGGCCCATCTCAATCGCAGACGACGATGTTGCGCTGTCAATAGCTGTCCTCTGTATGGTCTAAAAGCCCTGATGCCATGAGCCCTGAGTCTCCTGGCCACTGTCTGTCGACTAACCCTGTGACCTAAGGCATTTGTCGCCGATGACGTCACTGTCAGGAAGCGATTTCGGAGGTGCAAGGTACGCAAGTACCGGTCATCATGGGGCGTGGTCACCCTGGGTCTGCCTGTTCTTGGCCTGTCAGCGGTCCGCCCTGTCTATCTGTAACGTTGCATCAAGTTGGTAACGGCAACACGGGAGCAACCGAAGGTTCGTGCAATATGGGCGTGGGTGGCTCCCATCTGTACCATACCCAAGGCTCGTTCACGTTGTTCGACTGTGAGTCGTGGCATTTCTTTTGTGTGTTTTTATATCACTGTGGATGTCTGACATGCCGTTGCAATCGTTTTATACCCTTACCCGCACGTGCATTTGCAGTTGTCCGTGGTGCACGTGTTTTTCACTTTTTCGCGTTTTATCTCGCAAACATGTAGCAGACGATTAAAATTTTCTGCATACACTATTGTTGTAATTAGGTTATGTGTTTTAGATAGACTTAAAAAATAATAATTATGCTTTATATAAATTTATATTTTCAGTTGGTAAAGTTTCTTTTGGACGTCAGTTTATAATTCATACCATGAGTAAGTTAAAATGTTACGTCGCATCGGCATTATTTCAGCCATATATATATAGTGACGTCATATATATTTACGGGATTGACGGTGTATTTGTTTCGCTTTATTGGGGTATTAATTGATCGTGCACAGTTTTTACGTCGGTGTTATGCGCAACATGCGTGGCGGAACATACTACCAAGGCCGGTTTAAAAGAGATACTTCTCTTTGCAGCGACGTATTGCCTCTAAGTGTGTGGGATCCTGATTGTAATGCGATGTTCTGAGCGAAGGCATTCACAGAACTAAGCATGAGTAAAATTATTGTGTACTATGAACGTTAAAAGGTTCCCTTTTTAATAGTCTTTATTTAAAACTACCGAATATATAATTCTCAGAAAGCTTTTATAAGCATAACACTCGCTTCATACTGTCTAGTCCACAGGTGTTGTTCCATTTTGTTGTAATGCTATAATTAGCAACGTGGCACCATATCAATATATGCACTGTTGCGAATAATTTTCATCCATTGGCCAACACGGTTTTATAATATATTACCAACCCAAAGGCATATATTTTATTCAAGATATCGTTCTCACCCCCTTTTCATCTCGATGCCTAAAATTAAGAGATTTCATGGTTCCCTAATACCCAGGGGCTTTCTTTATTTTATTTTTTATCTAACCGTTATAAATAACTGCATTTCGGGGACTTTTTGTTAAAGTCTAGTGAAGACGTCACAGAAGGGTCTTCTGTAAGAAGAATGCGTTGTCAAAAGGAAGTATAAAAAGGGTACCCCATACGGAACTATACTAATTACGGATCGTCAGTGCCCAGCTATGATTGATTGTACTCCTTAATTGATTAAAATGAAAGATTCATGATATTTAGCAATACTATAAACTTGTATTTGAGAGATTGCATGCACACACATAGCTTCTGATACTGTTGGTGTGTGGAGGTGGGGCGTGAAAAGGCTCGGTTTCGCATTGTTGAAGTCCATGTTGGTGTTCCGGGCCATTGCTGGAATGTGATAAAAGCCTCAGGCGCCGGAATTCGCTGTGTAGATTAGAAACCCAGTTAATGCAGTCACCGGCCCGTGGACCCTGAGTCATATTTGATGGGTGAGGTGGGGTAGAAAAGCTGTAAATCAAAACAATGAGTTCAAATATTGAAATTTTATAAAAGGCTTCAATAGAATACTTTTATTTTTTATTTTCACTTGATCAAAGTGTCGAAGCAAATCCTGGGCCTCTTGGGTTATCTCCCTTGCAAGTAGAGTAGTAGACCAGGGCTCACTTGCACAAAGCAATCTTAGTGCTAAGATGATTGTAACTCCCATACTTTAACATGGGCTTACAATAGTCTTAGCGCTAAGATCGCTTTGTGCAAGTGGGCCCAGGACTCATTTAGGAATACTTCATAAACAAGTTTCAAGAAAACTGAAAAACAAAAGTGTGCTATTGATGATGGGAACTGGTGGCATGATCTATGTAAGTACAGGAGCTCACCCAACGGAAACAAGTTAAGAAATTATAGAAACTAATTCAATTAAAAACTCCTGAAAATTATTTGTTCATTCCAGTGACATTATACAAGCGTAAACCACTCGCAATGCTTAGGTGTGGTTCACTTCCTTTGAAACTAGAAACTGGACGCTTTATCAGATTACTTGCTGATATGGGGTCGTTTGTGCCCATGTTGTAGACACACTGACAATATAGAGGATGAATCGCATTTCCTGATAGACCGCCACGCATATCAGGACATAAGACACAAACCTTTTAAAACTAATGTTTTGTCATGTCATTTTGCAAATTTCAATGCTGCAGAAAAACAACAACCTTATTATATTGCAGCAACAGTTGGCTGTTTTTAAATGTTCACAAGAAGAAATAGATTAATACAGATTATGTGATATGCCGGTCATACGATTGAGTGGTTGTGGATTGGATATGTGTGTTTATGTGTGTGTGTGTGTGTGTGTGTGTGTGTGTGTGTGTGTGTGTGTGTGTGTGTGTGTGTGTGCGTGCGTGCGTGTGTGCGCGCGCATAAGTGTGTGGATAAGGATATGCATGTGTACATGTTGATGTACGTGCAGGTATGGATGGATTGTATATGTATGTGACGTATATAATATCGGGATTGTGTGCTTGTGTGCGGACGGTGGTGTATGAGTGAGTGTGGGCGTGGTTCGGCTAAGTGCAGGTATATGTGTGGGTGTTTTGGTAGGTGTGGGTATGTGAAGGTTCGTATGTGTGTATAAATGAATGGATAAGTAATGGAATGTATAAATGAACGAATGTTACGAAAAAGGTCTATCACAACCCAGGCGGTCGGCTCTCACATTATATGCGGTTTTTTTCTCTCTCTCTGGGGTCGTTTTCACCAATTATTTGCGGCCGTTTTGGCACCAGGCAGTTTGAGCCATAACAGCCCCTTGCCTCGATCCCTCCTCCGTTTGAATATTCTTCATGTTGTAAAATATCAAAATTTACCTTTGAGTTTATTTAAAGTCTTTATTAAATTAAATGTATTCTTTAAATGAAACGGTTATTGTTTACATGTATTTACACACAAATGTGTGTATTGAGTATATGCAATTATTAGAAAGTTCCTTGTTCGTTTGAAGATTGCCAGTCAACTTTTTACACTGCCCACAGTTGTCAAAATGGCTGCCCTTGGAAGAAATGCGGTGTCTCTCTCGCGATGTTTGCTCAAACTTCGTCCTGTTTCTGTGTCAGGTAATAACAGTTCAACAAAACTGTGTTTCAACCATATTCTAATTAATTATTCGTTTCGTCACTTTTCTATTTGTGCACCATTTGGAACATAGGAAGAACATTAGGCTTGTAACTAGTCCGTCCCCACGTGGTCCCGGTCATACAGAATGAGACAAATTTATGCAAAATAAAACCTTCATAGATCAGCCTGAGAATATTATGACTTTATGTTACTTGCATGATTCATCAAGTCGCTCAATCAGCTTTTACGAGTTATGATATTTGTGTCCTTTCTTAATGTACTTTGTGTAGAAATACGCAGTTTATCTGCATAACGGCCCTTGACCTTCAGCAGGCAGGGTATATCTACAGACAGGCGATTTTACGTCAACCTAGGCATCAAAGTATCGTCTGTTCCCTGATATTGACGTACAATATAATGAAAGTTGAGATATTTTTAACAGCACATGTTTCAGAGATGCCGTGATTGTGTTTGTGAGAGAGCACAAACCATTCGTTGAATTTTTTGTTTATTTGGCCTACCTTTAGAATACAGTACCACAAACTTTTCAATCTGGTCACAATAACCGATGACGAAATTTGCAGCGTTTTGTTGCCAGTCACCCTGGGGAAACAACACCCTGTGACGTCAGGGGTCATCGAGAATGCAGAAGTTCCTCTCAGTGATCTATCATCTCTACACGCAATGTCGTTGCAGAATTTGTTTACTAGATCTAAATATAGCCTGCGGCGGTGGCGCATTTTATAGCAAGCATTGTTTAACATGTTTAAGAAAGCATTTTTATTTTCAATATATTTTTTATTTCGTTTTTGTCTTAGTTCAAGTGTCTAAACTGATTATAAATGGGAACTAATATACACATACATGTATATTATTTTTCGATTCATTAATTATCCCCCGCCCCAATGAAGTTGGCGGGGGATATAGAAATGGGTTCCGTCCGTCCATCTGTACATGTGTGTGTGCATCCCGAAATCGTTTCCGGAGCATAACTCAGAAACCGTTAAATATTTCTCTGTCTGACTCATGCTGAACTGGTGCCTTTTGCTATTAAGGAATTTTAGAATTTTTTATTTTTTTACGTTTCCATGGCAACAAGTTGGACTTAGGTTATATAGAGTAGAGTTCGTTTCCGGAGCATAGCTCAAAACCCATTCATTACTTTCTAACAAAACTTTGCATGTTTAAAAGGGACATACTGAACTGGTGCCTTTTGATATTTAGCACTTTTAGAAAAAAATATTTTTTTTACGTTTCCATGGACTGAACTGTTGTTCAGAAATACCCCGTGTTAACGTTTTCAAGGTTGCATTATTAGAAAACACATTCCGACAGTCAGTTTCATAATCTGGTAAGCGACGCTTTGATTGGTTGGATGAAAGGTCGTTCTGACCCGTAATGGGATGTCCTCAGATCTTTGTTTAGCGATAGCGAGAACTAAGATCTTATTTCAATGAGATTGATTAAACCAACGAACCTGCTTTTCTTGTGCAGTTCTCATCCTCACAGTCAATGTTTCATAAGTCTTTTTCCGTTGCTGCATTCATATGACTTGCCATGGAAGTTCTTTGATGCATTGTAACAGCATGGTGATGAGCTGCGCTATCGCGATGCTCTTTCCATGCAGACTTCTTCATATCAAGGCAACCTTTTGTAAATCTGTTTTGTTTACAAGCTGCCTCACATATCTTGCAGTACATCATAATTCTACCATATTCCTCTTCATAACGTAGCCATTCGAATTCCTGCAACCATTCAGAATTAATTTCCGAATTTTAGTTTGGCTGGCCTTTTGACAACTGACAGTTATCTGGCCCCGTCTCAGAATGGAGTTTACGTTTTTAAGCAACATATCGACTTCAATCACTCGTTCCCGTATCTGTTATCACCCTCTTTGTCAGTCTCTGAGTCAATTTATGTACTCCTAAAAGGCGATTTAGACCATCCGTCCCCGAAGAATGATGACAGTGTCGTCTGCTTGCCCGCTAATATTACAGAAGTACACACAAGCTCCTCACAGCATCAGCCCGTACCGCAGAGTGCTCTAGATTATTGCAATGTTATGTAACAAAAGTATCAGTGCTTGCAGTACACATGGTTCACCCTCCAACCTAGAGTTCCATGCGGACATCATAGCAGCTCTCGGAGGATTCGTCACATCTCTATTCAAGATATTGCATATGTTTTTCATCTTGTTTCATTTTTGATGAGCCTATCCATTTTGATAAACATATGTCGTAGATTGTTTAAGTAAGTTTCATTGAGAAAATATCTTGAATTTTGAAAAACTATTACTATTTGCATATTTATCCTTTGTTAACATAGGATTATGGCTACATGTGCTGTCATTGAATCGCTTTGGAGAGCTAGCCGATTCAGTCACACTGATGGGTAAAAATATATTGTCATACTACTTTTGAATTTGTAGTAGCATATCTAGATCTATATAATTATGAAAAACAATATGTAAAGCACACAAAAGGCTTGCAATAGGCCAGTCTGTTCTGTTTTCAGAATAAACGCGTTTGTTTACAAACACGTGCAAATTTAAGTCATGTGATTATGATATGCAAATTAGCCTGTGGCAGTGGTGTAATGCTAAATCATCACTGCCCATGAGTGTGCACATGGTTCTGAACGTGGTGCAAGGCTTCATCAGAATATGACCAATAGGAAACTTTACCATGTTGAGGGATAATCTGGGGATTATCATTTATATAAGCCAATTTGACTTAGATGTTATACTTGCCACTTAATATACATTTTCCCCACTGACGTGAACAATCCTTGAACTTAGATTCTGCCTTGAAAATGAATAGTGTGCATTGGAAAGACCTTGAATTTTATAACTACTCACCATATCAAGTTTGTTACTTGAAAATATATCTTTTTGTCGCTTGACAAAAATATACTGTTAAACTTGGTTTAAAAAGATTGAATAAGACAATTTGTATACCAGTACCAGCCATTTGTCAATTACCATAGAGTTATCTCCCTTCCTTCTCACGGCAATGGCCTGTTTGCAAAGCTCTCTTGACTGTCGCTGCCACAAGTCACCAGCAACAACCAAATATGGAGTTGAACTCACACCCTGCTGATTGTTATGTTTACTGTCATGAAGTAGAATACTCTTGCCCCGGGTTGATGAGTTTCTTTGTCAATTTGAATTTCTATTTCATTTCAGCTATCATGTACTTGGTGTGGTAAGAATATGTTAGAGGGAAGTTGTATGCTTTTCTGTGAGCCTTCAATCTCGAACCAATCTGATTAAACAAATTGCAAATTTATCTGGAAAATAATAAGCAGGTCATAATACTTTTAAATATTCACTATCATGGCATTCCAAAGACACACAAAAATATAAATGTCACTGCATTTGGGGTTGGAGGACAAATTTGGAGATTCTTGTAGTCACCGCTTCCACACTGGTGACATTGATATTACTAGGAGTTTAACCATAATGTCACTCACTGGAAGGAACTTGGATCAGCTGCTTCCATAAGTCGATTATGCTTGAATTTGAACAGGTTGATTCAGACAGAGTGGCTAAAAGCATTCCACGTTGAAGCAAATGGCAGAAGTTTAATTAAATGTTCAGTTTGCATGACCTTGAAGTTCTTGGAGGGAGCCTTGAAATATTAGGGCATGAATTGTGACTCTAACTCAGTACAAACCCGGTTATGACAATACTATTCTTGGATTGTTCAAGTTTATCGGTAAGAATTCTAGTTACTTGAGTCACTGCTGATGTGAATAATGATCTCATTTTCAAATGTTTCAGGGCAGAGGTTCCTGTTGAATGGAGATATTTTAGGTCTAGACAACTTAAGGCGAGTTCGTGTGTTGACACAAGACCGACTTGGAACACTTAAGGGTATGTGACCGTATGTCGATATGTAACCATTGTCACAGGTAACACTAATAGGAGACAGAAAGCCTGTAATTTCCCTAAATTCCTAATGAAGTTGAGGTTCACTTTACTTTAAAATATTGTCAAAGTTTCCATCCATAGTTCCAATAGTGAGTCTTGACAAAATAGGATGTTTGGTCCTGCTGGGTCCAGTCATACATTGTCCTGAAAGTTGGGATCTCTTGGTGTCACAAAGTTTCAACTAATGTTTTTGCTGTGATGATTCCAGGAAGTTTTATGGAACGTATGCAAAATCTAACAGCTAGAGAAGGACAGACGATATTTACAGAGGACTTGAAGACGACAGTAGCTGTTACAGAAACAGATGAAGATCTAGAGACACTAGTAGCCATGTTGAAAAGGTAGGGGCGGATTTTTAATGAAAGTTTGAAAAGTTCAATTAATTTTCATAGGAAGTGATGTATAGATGTCTGGTAGTTATCAGCTATGAAGGTTATTATCACCTACCAGGAAGTGGGATATAAGAACTTCCTCTGTCCTTCCATCTTTCTTTCCGTCCACTACTGAAAGGGGACAAAATTTCTCAAGAACTGTTTAAGTTAGAGAAATGAAATGTTACACATTGATGTTACTGGTCGCGATCTCAAATGAGTTGAAAATTGTTGTAAATTAATTTTTTTATAGAGTTATGGCCCTTGCTCTGTCCTTTCAACTTCGGCCAAACTGCATGAAATGGGGATGGTTTTCTCAACAACAACTGAAGTTACATGAAAGAAAGTTTGCATGCTTATCTGCAAAATACTTGTCAAGACTGAGTTTGTAAATTGGTGACATTAATTATTTTTGAGACAGTTGTGCTCTTGATTTATGTCATTATGCCCTGCCCAGTAGTGTATGTAAGGGGACAGATTTTATTCTTGAAAACTATTTATGTCAGAGAAATGAAATTTTACACCCTGAATCTTTCTGATGACACATTCACTACTGTATGCACAAACAAAATTCTAATGTGCCCCATGGCTGGGGATAGTGATAACACTGTTACTTGTTGATTTCTGAATTACCAGTCAGTGTTGTGTGTGTTTTGCCTTTAGCCTATACTTGATGTGCAGTGGTTTGAGGATGGCGGAGTTGAATGTGATTGTGTATGGTTGTGCAGGTTTTGTGCAGACCGGGCACAAGACACGGAGGATTCCCCCCGACCGTACTGCTTTGGGCCACCAGTGTTACGTTTGCTGCACATCAGGAATGAAGTAGACAAAGCAGTGGAGCTGTTCCAAGATGAGGTGAGAGGCAAACCTCCTTGTCAGCTGCCCAACTATAGGTTTGGTGGACTGAATAAAAATGTATGAAGAATGCAGTATTATTGTCATGGTTTTGTTCAAAGTTTTATTTTATAGGAATATTTGGTAAGGTGTAATAAGTACAATGAAGATAATGTGTTTTGGGAAATGACAGTATGGCCTGTATGAAGTTAGGTATTGGTAGTAGGGAGTATGGAGTATGGCCTGCATGAAGTTAGGTATTGGTAGTAGGGAGTACGGTCTGTATGAAGTTAGGTATTGGTAGTAGGGAGTATAGTGTGTATGAAGTCAGGTATTGGTAGTAGGGAGTACGGTCTGTATGAAGTTAGGTATTGGTAGTAGGCAGTATGGCCTGTATGAAGTCAGGTATTGGTAGTAGGGATCATGGCCTGTATAAAGTTAGGTATTGGTAGTAGGGAGTAAGGTCTGTATGAAGTTAGGTATTGGTAGTAGGGAGTGTGGTCTGTATGAAGTTAGGTATTGGTAGTAGGGAGTGTGGTCTGTATGAAGTTAGGTATTGGTAGTAGGGAGTGTGGTCTGTATGAAGTTAGGTATTGGTAGTAGGGAGTGTGGTCTGTATGAAGTTAGGTATTGGTAGTAGGGAGTATGGCCTGTATGAAGTTAGGTATTGGTAGTAGGCAGTATGGCCTGTATGAAGTCAGGTATTGGTAGTAGGGAGTGTGGTCTGTATGAAGTTAGGTATTGGTAGTAGGGAGTATGGCCTGTATGAAGTTAGGTATTGGTAGTAGGGAGTACGGTCTGTATGAAGTTAGGTATTGGTAGTAGGGACTATGGCCTGTATGAAGTCAGGTATTGGTAGTAGGGAGTATGGCCTGTATGAAGTTAGGTATTGGTAGTAGGCAGTATGGCCTGTATGAAGTCAGGTATTGGTAGTAGGGAGTGTGGTCTGTATGAAGTTAGGTATTGGTAGTAGGGAGTATGGCCTGTATGAAGTTAGGTATTGGTAGTAGGGAGTACGGTCTGTATGAAGTTAGGTATTGGTAGTAGGGACTATGGCCTGTATGAAGTTAGGTATTGGTAGTAGGGAGTACGGTCTGTATGAAGTTAGGTATTGGTAGTAGGGAGTATGGCCTGTATGAAGTTAGGTATTGGTAGTAGGCAGTATGGCCTGTATGAAGTCAGGTATTGGTAGTAGGGACTATGGCCTGTATGAAGTTAGGTATTGGTAGTAGGGAGTACGGTCTGTATGAAGTTAGGTATTGGTAGTAGGGAGTATGGCCTGTATGAAGTTAGGTATTGGTAGTAGGCAGTATGGCCTGTATGAAGTCAGGTATTGGTAGTAGGGAGTGTGGTCTGTATGAAGTTAGGTATTGGTAGTAGGGAGTATGGCCTGTATGAAGTTAGGTATTGGTAGTAGGGAGTAAGGTCTGTATGAAGTCAGGTATTGGTAGTAGGGAGTATGGCCTGTATGAAGTTAGGTATTGGTAGTAGGGAGTATGGCCTGTATGAAGTTAGGTATTGGTAGTAGGGAGTAAGGCCTGTATGAAGTCAGGTATTGGTAGTAGGGAGTATGGCCTGTATGAAGTTAGGTATTGGTAGTAGGGAGTATGGCCTGTATGAAGTTAGGTATTGGTAGTAGTAAGGTCTGTATGAAGTTAGGTGTTGGTAGTAGGGAGTGTGGTCTGTATGAAGTTAGGTATTGGTAGTAGGGACTATGGTCTGTATGAAGTCAGGTATTGGTAGTAGGGAGTGTGGTCTGTATGAAGTTAGGTATTGGTAGTAGGGACTATGGCCTGTATGAAGTTAGGTATTGGTAGTAGGGAGTACGGTCTGTATGAAGTTAGGTATTGGTAGTAGGGAGTGTGGTCTGTATGAAGTTAGGTATTGGTAGTAGGGAGTGTGGTCTGTATGAAGTTAGGTATTGGTAGTAGGGAGTGTGGTCTGTATGAAGTTAGGTATTGGTAGTAGGGAGTGTGGTCTGTATGAAGTTAGGTATTGGTAGTAGGGAGTATGGCCTGTATGAAGTTAGGTATTGGTAGTAGGCAGTATGGCCTGTATGAAGTCAGGTATTGGTAGTAGGGAGTGTGGTCTGTATGAAGTTAGGTATTGGTAGTAGGGAGTATGGTCTGTATGAAGTTAGGTATTGGTAGTAGGGAGTAAGGTCTGTATGAAGTTAGGTATTGGTAGTAGGGACTATGGCCTGTATGAAGTTAGGTATTGGTAGTAGTAAGGTCTGTATGAAGTTAGGTGTTGGTAGTAGGGAGTGTGGTCTGTATGAAGTTAGGTATTGGTAGTAGGGACTATGGTCTGTATGAAGTCAGGTATTGGTAGTAGGGAGTGTGGTCTGTATGAAGTTAGGTATTGGTAGTAGGGAGTGTGGTCTGTATGAAGTTAGGTATTGGTAGTAGGGACTATGGCCTGTATGAAGTTAGGTATTGGTAGTAGGGACTATGGCCTGTATGAAGTTAGGTATTGGTAGTAGGGAGTACGGTCTGTATGAAGTTAGGTATTGGTAGTAGGGAGTAAGGTCTGTATGAAGTTAGGTATTGGTAGTAGGGAGTATGGCCTGTATGAAGTTAGGTATTGGTAGTAGTAAGGTCTGTATGAAGTTAGGTGTTGGTAGTAGGGAGTATGGCCTGTATGAAGTTAGGTATTGGTAGTAGGGAGTATGGTCTGTATAAAGTTAGGTATTGGTAGTAGGGAGTATGGCCTGTATGAAGTCAGGTATTGGTAGTATGGAGTATGGCCTGTATGAAGTCAGGTATTGGTAGTAGGGAGTATGGTCTGTATAAAGTTAGGTATTGGTAGTAGGGACTATGGCCTGTATGAAGTTAGGTATTGGTAGTAGGGAGTACGGTCTGTATGAAGTTAGGTATTGGTAGTAGGGAGTAAGGTCTGTATGAAGTTAGGTATTGGTAGTAGGGAGTATGGCCTGTATGAAGTTAGGTATTGGTAGTAGTAAGGTCTGTATGAAGTTAGGTGTTGGTAGTAGGGAGTATGGCCTGTATGAAGTTAGGTATTGGTAGTAGGGAGTATGGTCTGTATAAAGTTAGGTATTGGTAGTAGGGAGTATGGCCTGTATGAAGTTAGGTATTGGTAGTAGGGAGTACGGTCTGTATGAAGTTAGGTATTGGTAGTAGGGAGTAAGGTCTGTATGAAGTTAGGTATTGGTAGTAGGGAGTATGGCCTGTATGAAGTTAGGTATTGGTAGTAGGGAGTGTGGCCTGTATGAAGTTAGGTATTGGTAGTAGGGAGTATGGCCTGTATGAAGTTAGGTATTGGTAGTAGGGAGTATGGTCTGTATAAAGTTAGGTATTGGTAGTAGGGAGTATGGCCTGTATGAAGTCAGGTATTGGTAGTAGGGAGTATGGTCTGTATGAAGTTAGGTATTGGTAGTAGGGAGTATGGTCTGTATGAAGTTAGGTATTGGTAGTAGGGAGTATGGTCTGTATGAAGTTAGGTATTGGTAGTAGGGAGTAAGGTCTGTATGAAGTTAGGTATTGGTAGTAGGGAGTATGGTCTGTATGAAGTTAGGTATTGGTAGTAGGGATCATGGCCTGTATAAAGTTAGGTATTGGTAGTAGGGAGTATGGTCTGTATAAAGTTAGGTATTGGTAGTAGGGAGTATGGCCTGTATGAAGTCAGGTATTGGTAGTAGGGAGTGTGGTCTGTATGAAGTTAGGTATTGGTAGTAGGGAGTAAGGTCTGTATGAAGTTAGGTATTGGTAGTAGGGAGTATGGTCTGTATGAAGTTAGGTATTGGTAGTAGGGAGTACGGTCTGTATGAAGTTAGGTATTGGTAGTAGTAAGGTCTGTATGAAGTTAGGTATTGGTAGTAGGGAGTGTGGTCTGTATGAAGTTAGGTATTGGTAGTATGGAGTATGGCCTGTATGAAGTTAGGTATTGGTAGTAGGGAGTACGGTCTGTATGAAGTTAGGTATTGGTAGTAGGGAGTATGGCCTGTATGAAGTTAGGTATTGGTAGTAGGGAGTACGGTCTGTATGAAGTTAGGTATTGGTAGTAGGCAGTATGGCCTGTATGAAGTCAGGTATTGGTAGTAGGGATCATGGCCTGTATAAAGTTAGGTATTGGTAGTAGGGAGTAAGGTCTGTATGAAGTCAGGTATTGGTAGTAGGGAGTGTGGTCTGTATGAAGTTAGGTATTGGTAGTAGGGACTATGGTCTGTATGAAGTTAGGTATTGGTAGTAGGGAGTACGGTCTGTATGAAGTTAGGTATTGGTAGTAGTAAGGTCTGTATGAAGTTAGGTATTGGTAGTAGGGAGTGTGGTCTGTATGAAGTTAGGTATTGGTAGTAGGGACTATGGTCTGTATGAAGTTAGGTATTGGTAGTAGGCAGTATGGCCTGTATGAAGTTAGGTATTGGTAGTAGGGACTATGGTCTGTATGAAGTTAGGTATTGGTAGTAGGCAGTATGGCGTGTATGAAGTCAGGTATTGGTAGTAGGGATCATGGCCTGTATAAAGTTAGGTATTGGTAGTAGGGAGTAAGGTCTGTATGAAGTTAGGTATTGGTAGTAGGGAGTGTGGTCTGTATGAAGTTAGGTATTGGTAGTAGGGAGTGTGGTCTGTATGAAGTTAGGTATTGGTAGTAGGGAGTGTGGTCTGTATGAAGTTAGGTATTGGTAGTAGGGAGTGTGGTCTGTATGAAGTAAGGTATTGGTAGTAGGGAGTATGGCCTGTATGAAGTTAGGTATTGGTAGTAGGGAGTACGGTCTGTATGAAGTTAGGTATTGGTAGTAGGGAGTATGGCCTGTATGAAGTTAGGTATTGGTAGTAGGGAGTGAGGTCTGTGGGAAGTCAGGTATTGGTAGTAGGGAGTAAGGTCTGTATGAAGTCAGGTATTGGTAGTAGGGAGTAAGGCCTGTATGAAGTCAGGTATTGGTAGTAGGGACTATGGCCTGTATGAAGTTAGGTATTGGTAGTAGTAAGGTCTGTATGAAGTTAGGTGTTGGTAGTAGGCAGTATGGCCTGTATGAAGTTAGGTATTGGTAGTAGTAAGGTCTGTATGAAGTTAGGTGTTGGTAGTAGGGAGTATGGCCTGTATGAAGTTAGGTATTGGTAGTAGGGAGTATGGTCTGTATAAAGTTAGGTATTGGTAGTAGGGAGTATGGTCTGTATGAAGTTAGGTATTGGTAGTAGGCAGTATGGCCTGTATGAAGTCAGGTATTGGTAGTAGGCAGTATGGCCTGTATGAAGTCAGGTATTGGTAGTAGGGAGTATGGCCTGTATAAAGTTAGGTATTGGTAGTAGGGAGTATGGTCTGTATGAAGTTAGGTATTGGTAGTAGGCAGTATGGCCTGTATGAAGTTAGGTATTGGTAGTAGTAAGGTCTGTATGAAGTTAGGTGTTGGTAGTAGGGAGTATGGCCTGTATGAAGTCAGGTATTGGTAGTAGGCAGTATGGCCTGTATGAAGTTAGGTGTTGGTAGTAGGCAGTATGGCCTGTATGAAGTTAGGTATTGGTAGTAGGCAGTATGGCCTGTATGAAGTTAGGTGTTGGTAGTAGGCAGTATGGCCTGTATGAAGTTAGGTGTTGGTAGTAGGCAGTATGGCCTGTATGAAGTTAGGTATTGGTAGTAGTAAGGTCTGTATGAAGTTAGGTATTGGTAGTAGGGAGTGTGGTCTGTATGAAGTTAGGTATTGGTAGTAGGGAGTGTGGTCTGTATGAAGTAAGGTATTGGTAGTAGGGAGTATGGCCTGTATGAAGTTAGGTATTGGTAGTAGGGAGTACGGTCTGTATGAAGTTAGGTATTGGTAGTAGGGAGTATGGCCTGTATGAAGTTAGGTATTGGTAGTAGGGAGTGAGGTCTGTGGGAAGTCAGGTATTGGTAGTAGGGAGTAAGGTCTGTATGAAGTTAGGTATTGGTAGTAGGGACTATGGCCTGTATGAAGTTAGGTATTGGTAGTAGGGAGTAAGGTCTGTATGAAGTTAGGTATTGGTAGTAGGGAGTGTGGTCTGTATGAAGTTAGGTATTGGTAGTAGGGAGTAAGGTCTGTATAAAGTTAGGTATTGGTAGTAGGGAGTAAGGTCTGTATGAAGTTAGGTATTGGTAGTAGGGAGTGTGGTCTGTATGAAGTTAGGTATTGGTAGTAGGGAGTATGGTCTGTATAAAGTTAGGTATTGGTAGTAGGGAGTATGGTCTGTATGAAGTTAGGTATTGGTAGTAGGGAGTGTGGTCTGTATAAAGTTAGGTATTGGTAGTAGGGAGTAAGGTCTGTATGAAGTTAGGTATTGGTAGTAGGGAGTGTGGTCTGTATGAAGTTAGGTATTGGTAGTAGGGAGTAAGGTCTGTATGAAGTTAGGTATTGGTAGTAGGGAGTGTGGTCTGTATGAAGTTAGGTATTGGTAGTAGGGAGTATGGTCTGTATAAAGTTAGGTATTGGTAGTAGGGAGTATGGTCTGTATGAAGTTAGGTATTGGTAGTAGTAAGGTCTGTATGAAGTTAGGTGTTGGTAGTAGGCAGTATGGCCTGTATGAAGTTAGGTATTGGTAGTAGTAAGGTCTGTATGAAGTTAGGTGTTGGTAGTAGGGAGTATGGCCTGTATGAAGTTAGGTATTGGTAGTAGGGACTATGGTCTGTATGAAGTCAGGTATTGGTAGTAGGGAGTGTGGTCTGTATGAAGTTAGGTATTGGTAGTAGGGAGTGTGGTCTGTATGAAGTTAGGTATTGGTAGTAGGGAGTGTGGCCTGTATGAAGTTAGGTATTGGTAGTAGGGAGTATGGTCTGTATAAAGTTAGGTATTGGTAGTAGGGAGTATGGTCTGTATGAAGTTAGGTATTGGTAGTAGGCAGTATGGCCTGTATGAAGTCAGGTATTGGTAGTAGGCAGTATGGCCTGTATGAAGTCAGGTATTGGTAGTAGGGAGTATGGCCTGTATGAAGTCAGGTATTGGTAGTAGGCAGTATGGCCTGTATGAAGTTAGGTATTGGTAGTAGGCAGTATGGTCTGTATGAAGTTAGGTATTGGTAGTAGGGAGTATGGCCTGTATAAAGTTAGGTATTGGTAGTAGGGAGTATGGTCTGTATGAAGTTAGGTATTGGTAGTAGGCTGTATGGCCTGTATGAAGTTAGGTATTGGTAGTAGTAAGGTCTGTATGAAGTTAGGTGTTGGTAGTAGGGAGTATGGCCTGTATGAAGTCAGGTATTGGTAGTAGGCAGTATGGCCTGTATGAAGTTAGGTGTTGGTAGTAGGCAGTATGGCCTGTATGAAGTTAGGTATTGGTAGTAGGCAGTATGGCCTGTATGAAGTTAGGTGTTGGTAGTAGGCAGTATGGCCTGTATGAAGTTAGGTGTTGGTAGTAGGCAGTATGGCCTGTATGAAGTCAGGTATTGGTAGTAGGGACTATGGTCTGTATGAAGTCAGGTATTGGTAGTAGGCAGTATGGCCTGTATGAAGTTAGGTGTTGGTAGTAGGCAGTATGGCCTGTATGAAGTTAGGTATTGGTAGTAGTAAGGTCTGTATGAAGTTAGGTATTGGTAGTAGGCAGTATGGCCTGTATGAAGTCAGGTATTGGTAGTAGGCAGTATGGCCTGTATGAAGTTAGGTGTTGGTAGTAGGCAGTATGGCCTGTATGAAGTTAGGTGTTGGTAGTAGGCAGTATGGCCTGTATGAAGTTAGGTATTGGTAGTAGTAAGGTCTGTATGAAGTTAGGTGTTGGTAGTAGGCAGTATGGCCTGTATGAAGTTAGGTGTTGGTAGTAGGCAGTATGGCCTGTATGAAGTTAGGTATTGGTAGTAGTAAGGTCTGTATGAAGTTAGGTATTGGTAGTAGGGAGTATTGCCTGTATGAAGTTAGGTATTGGTAGTAGGGAGTATGGCCTGTATGAAGTCAGGTATTGGTAGTAGGCAGTATGGCCTGTATGAAGTCAGGTATTGGTAGTAGGCAGAATGGCCTGTATGAAGTTAGGTGTTGGTAGTAGGGAGTAAGGTCTGTATGAAGTTAGGTGTTGGTAGTAGGCAGTATGGCCCGTATGAAGTTAGGTATTGGTAGTAGGGACTATGGTCTGTATGAAGTTAGGTATTGGTAGTAGGCAGTATGGCCTGTATGAAGTTAGGTATTGGTAGTAGTAAGGTCTGTATGAAGTTAGGTCTGTATGAAGTTAGGTATTGGTAGTAGTATGGTCTGTATGAAGTTAGGTGTTGGTAGTAGGGAGTATGGCCTGTTTGAAGTCAGGTATTTGTAGTAGGCAGTATAGTAGGCAACTATTTTCATGATTTTCAATGGAGCTTTTCTGCAACAGTGTAAAATGTTACGTGAATTGTCATTAATCCTCTTTCAAAAACGTCCGTCATGAGACAACTAGTAGAGCTATAGAACTGTTGTTTATATCAATGAAAGAAGGTTCAAACTCTAAAATTGTAGAAAACTGAAAGAAGAAATGTTTGTGACATTACTACTCACTGTTACCTTGATCATGTGCCCTGCGGGTAGTGGGGTAGTCTGGTGGTTAAAACGTTCACCTGTCACGTCGTTTGATTCCCAACATGACTACCATGTGTGAAGCCCATTTTTGGTGTCCCCGGCAGTGATATTGCTGGAATATTGCTAAAAGCTGTGAAAAAACCATACTCACTGCCTCATGTTCCCTGGAGGGACTGAGTTTGTGTGTGGGACTCCAGCAATGGTTCCACCTGGTGCTGATTGGAAGTATGGTTGTTGAGTGTGTTTGTTGTGTTGTTGCAGAGCCTGAGGAGCCTGTTTGACAACATCTCCAGCTACATGCTCATCATGGACATGCTGTACAAGAAGGGCCGCTACCCAGAGGTTGTCGAGTACTACAAGCAGCTAAAGGAGTTTGGTGGCGACGACTTCAGATACCCCATCAACTGCATGACGTTGTTGTTTGCTTCATTGTATAAAATAGTATGTTCATAGTTTACCAATTTTGAGACAAACGCTGTTTTTGTCAAACTCAAGTAAAAGTATATCGGACAGTTGTTGTATTGGGTCTGCCATCTTGAAAGGTACACTGTTATTGTCAATCACAAGTGCACATGTATCTGCGGATTGTTATATTGGGGTCCACCATCTATAAAGATATATACTGTTATATTCAAGCTCCAATTCATGTGTACTATCAGTCAATGTTATCCATCAATATCTCTCCATTGCTGCTATCAAATGTGGGGCGGTGGGGTAGCCTAGTGGTTAAAGCCTTCGGTTGTCACGTCGAAGTCTCGGGTTTGATTCCCTACATGGGTACAATGCGTGAAGACCATTTCCTGTGCCCCCCCGCTGTAATATTGCTGAAATATTGCTAAAAGTGGTGTAAAACCATACTCACTCTCTGTCACTCGCTGCTATCAAATGTAAGGTTCTTGAACACGTTGAGAGTTGTTTCCATGATACATCGTCCATCATTCGTTATTGACCCTCCTGAATCAAGTAGGCTCATGTTGTGGCTCATTGTCTGTTGTCTGTCTGGTTGTCTGTTGTTAACAGTAACCGTAATACTGTTAAAAGCGGTGTTAAACCCAACTCACTCACTCACTAAATGATCTCTAAGTGAAGAAAGAACTCCCTTACTTCTCTGATTTTTGTTTAAGTAATAACACAACTCATCACAAATACAGTTATGTATTCTATCATAAACTGCAGATGGCATAAAAAACACCAGTAATAACATTTTTGGTGCGTGTAATTAGGCCATTTACAAAAAAGGTCCAGTGACAAATTTCACAGGGGCTAATGGCTTGCACACAACTGGACATGTCATACTTGCAGGGGATATGAATATTTCATGCTTGTTTAATTTATATGCAGCAAGTATGCCGAATGACATATATGTTTGTTTTACATATTTTGACTTGACCAACCTACCACTTTTGGGTTACTGCATGTTTTACATCATCTCATCAACTACAAGGCCTTTGGAGCTGAAAGTTTGTGTGAATGATCCTAGCTATGGTTTCTCTAAATATGTGCACAGATCTGATCCAAAACTTAGCCACCATCATTTCTTCAGGAGCACATTTAGAATACAGTACCACAACTTTCGTGGGGATGATCTCTGCCGTAGGTCACATGTCTCCAAGACGAGCAACCAGTTTTTGTGAGAATCCGTCGGACACGAACCCGCAACCTTCGGATTGTTAGCCTGACAGCTAACCGACTGAGCTACGTCCACACTGTGAAATAAAGTGCAAATTTACCTAGTCATGCCTATGACGTTAAGGAACTGAACGAAAAGTGTTGAATAGGTGACGGACACTTACAAAGGTTACAGGTAGGCATGATGTCTCGTGACTTTAGTCTACGGAAACACTTGCGAATGATCCCGATGCCATTTGGCACACTCATCCCATTCCGTAATCTACAAGATACCGATTGGTGAGAAATGAGCCGATATGGCAGGAACTGAAAACAGGTCCAGGCCTCAGATGTCCAACTTGCGAGTACGCATGAATGATATGGTTTTTGATAATTTGTCAGGTGATTTTTGTGACAGATAAGTGTGATAGGGAACACTGTAAGGATGATGTGGATAATAGTAAGGAATGAGGGAGGCATTAGCATGGCTAGTGACGACACAATGGTGAGTTCGCTTTTGAATCAGTACTGAAAAAACATAGTGGGTGAAAGTGGCTTGTGTGAATGTTCCAGGACAGTTTCCAGTAGCCAAAATATTCGACACAAAACCATTGCATTTACTCGACATTTTTATGTGAAGAATTTTAGGAGTCTCTATAGAATCAATAACAACCACTAAATGAGTACCTAGCCCTAATGATCGTAAAGGGGCGATTGATTGTAAAGGGGATCCAAGGGCTAAGGATAGAGTTAGGGGTAACCTTCACTAACACTGGCGACATTTGGATGTGTTCAGCAATATCCCTAATAAACTGCATTCATGTGCCTAATAATGAAAATTAATGAACTGGAAAAATAATAAATGTATATCAGTTCCCATTTATAACCATTTCAGAGATTTGAATTACGAGAAATACGAAATAAAATAAATAAAAAAAATAAGGGCTTTCGTAAACTAGTGATTGTTCTAAAATGAGCCGCTGCAGGTTATATTTAGTAAACAAATATTCAAAACTCTCAACACTGCTGACATTGCATGTAGAGATGATTGATCACTGGGAGGAGCTTATGCACACTCAATGACCCCTGACCCCTGGTCATTGTTTCGCCGATGTGACTGGCAACAAAATACTACAAATTACGTCATAGAGTATTGTCACGTGTTTGAAAAGTTTGTGGTACTGTATTCTAAAGGTAGGCCTTTCTTCATAATGTTGAAATAATGTTGAGGTCTATGAGATTTTCTGATTGATGACATGTTTGACTGTATTGGCTTCCATGTTTGGATACTGGATGGCAGAATAACATGATTAATGCCCTGTCTTTCCTCATTCTCTGGGGTTGATATTTTAGAACACAGAAGAGTCCTTGACTTTGAGTTTGAAGTACCTGAGGGATATTCAAGCAGCAAGATTCAGGCCATCAGGGCGCAGTCTGTCATTCATCGCCGCCCTTGCGGTTAACCAGGTAAGGCCCTCGTGTTACCTCATCACCTGAGATAACCAGGTAAGGGCGTCATGTTACCTCATCACCTGAGTTAACAAGGTAAGACTGTCATGTTACCTCATCACCTGAGTTAACCAGGTAAGACTGTCATGTTACCTCATCACCTGAGATAACCAGGTAAGGGCGTCATGTTACCTCATCACCTGAGTTAACAAGGTAAGACTGTCATGTTACCTCATCACCTGAGTTAACCAGGTAAAACTGTCATGTTACCTCATCACCTGAGTTAACCAGGTAAGGCCGTCATGTTACCTCATCACCTGTGTTAACCAGGTAAAACTGTCATGTTACCTCATCACCTGAGTTAACCAGGTAAGGCCGTCATGTTACCTCATCACCTGAGTTAACCAGGTAAGACTGTCATGTTACCTCATCACCTGAGTTAACCAGGTAAGACTGTCATGTTACCTCATCACCTGAGTTAACCAGGTAAGGGACATGTTACCTCATCACCTGAGTTAACCAGGTAAAACTGTCATGTTACCTCATCACCTGAGTTAACCAGGTAAGGCCGTCATGTTACCTCATCACCTGAGTTAACCAGGTAAAACTGTCATGTTACCTCATGACCTGAGTTAACCAGGTAAGGCCGTCATGTTACCTCATCACCTGAGTTAACCAGGTAAGACTGTCATGTTACCTCATCACCTGAGTTAACCAGGTAAGACTGTCATGTTACCTCATCACCTGAGTTAACCAGGTAAGGGGGTCATGTTACCTCATCACCTGAGTTAACCAGGTAAGGGGGTCATGTTACCTCATCACCTGAGTTATCCTGGTAAGACTGTCATGTTACCTCATCACCTGAGTTAACCAGGTAAGACTGTCATGTTACCTCATCACCTGAGTTATCCTGGTAAGACTGTCATGTTACATCATCACCTGAGTTAACCAGGTAAGACTGTCATGTTACATCATCACCTGAGTTATCCTGGTAAGACTGTCATGTTACCTCATCACCTGAGTTAACCAGGTAAGGGACATGTTACCTCATCACCTGAGTTAACCAGGTAAGACTGTCATGTTACCTCATCACCTGAGTTAACCAGGTAAGACTGTCATGTTACCTCATCACCTGAGTTAACCAGGTAAGGGGGTCATGTTACCTCATCACCTGAGTTAACCAGGTAAGGGGGTCATGTTACCTCATCACCTGAGTTAACCAGGTAAAACTGTCATGACCTTATAGATTGTCTCAGAATCCTGGCCTGGAACTACTGCGCATGAGTTCAGCCTTATGGCAGGCTCTTTCATGTTTCTTGCTTCCATCATGCACATGAAATATTATATTACTGATCACTGAATAAAAATCTCATTTAATTTGCCATGTCAGTTGCTTTATATTCAGTTGTGAATATTCATGATATGCCAGCAGAAGTAAATATGATTCTTTCCCCAATCTCTCACAAAGTTTATTTCAGCAACAATTATTATGAATATGCTTTGATCTTTTTGTGGAAAGTAGCCTGATCTAGCCTGAGAGACATAAGACTTTAGGATTGTCGTGTCTGTAAGCATGTAAACAATATTGATGATTTGCCTGTCATTACACATCTTCTGTTTCTCAGGGAAAGCCAGCGACTGGCTTGGAGGTGTGCACATCTGCCCCCAATCACAGGATAGTTGGGGTGGTAAATATTAAGGTAAGTGTGCTGGAATTTGCATCTGGAACAATTTGTTTCACCATAGACCTGTGATAGGACAAGTTGATTTTGAATCTCGAATAAGCATTGTCCGTAATTGTTTTTGAAATTACGGATTTTACTTTAGGGTAGTAACATTAATTTTGTACTAAAGTACTGTCGGAAATGCTAGAAAACTGCTTTTCTGGCTTATTTAATAAATACGAGTCATAGGACCATAAAAAGAGCATATATCAAAATATCGCGAATTTGCCCTAATCTAGCCTGTCCTAACTGACACTTTGATTACCCTTAAAATGTACTTTTACAGGTAAAATGATGATAAACTTAGAAAATATTCGTGTGTTGTCATGCATGTATGAAATGGCCTATAACATGAGGTAATTACCTAACACCTGTCCAGAGGTAATGACCTCACACAGTCCCGTGCATTCTCCCAGGTGCAAATGTCACCGAGTTGGGGGTTGTCTCAAAATATTGCTGTTATTATACTTAATTGACATGCGTTGATGAGGTAGCAATCTAGGATATGTACTGCATTATATTTGCTTGAAAACATGATGGACTAGTTAGTTATCTCCGCTGATGACGTATATGAATCTGTGCTTTTGAATGTTGTGTTATATGTCTTGCCACGAACCCTTTATACATAGCCAAGATAGACACAACAAGGTTGAGCTCACAATGTCTCACTGCCGTACGTAAGACAACGTAACCGTGTTGTGCCGCCAGCACATATGTCTTGTACTTAACTGGTTTCTTATTCAGCCGAATTTTCCTGTATGGTCGCCTTCAGACTACTCATGGTTTGGGCGACAGTATCTGATTCCCGGACGTTATATTAACTGGAGTTATCCATGACAATCACACTGACGTTGTTTAAAATGGGCAATAGCTGAAGCTCAACCAGTCTATGAACACATCACCTACTATAATTTCCTTATGAAAATCACCAGTTTTCTTTTTCGCCTAGAAAACATCCATCAATAAGCCACATATCATGGGTTGCAGCGTGCAAAACAATGACACGATTACCTGTACCTGATGGTACCATGGGTGCTTTTTGTCCATCTGCCAATAGCCACATGTAGTCAGTGGAATGATTCACCAAGGTAAATCATCTGGACGCCCTGACTGTGATAGTTATGAATGAAATAATGTGACCTCATAGACATAATGGAATATTTTCCCCTGAAAAGTGCGCGGTCATCGCCACGTGCAGTGTATCAAAATCCCATCTCTTGGAGAGCAATAGTGCAGTCGGGGAAACATTAGTTGTATCTTTAATTCCTCCCAAATTCTACTACAAGTCAGGGTTACCTTCTGCTCATAAAGCTTGTACACTGTACGCCTAACCACCCCGTATCAAAGCTGTCTAAATCCTTTTACACCCCAGTTTTGTTTTTGAGACCACCCCTATACCTGTTTTGTTTTCTTATCATACCGTAGACTGAAAACACCATAGCTTGAGCAGTTCGGTAATTCACCCTATCTAAATTAATAAATGGTTTCCCTCTATCTCTCTAAAGTGTAAAGAACTTGTATGCATCTCCAAGTACAGATTCCATATCGTGTACCTTGGTTATGGCTATGCAAGTGTAATGTAACATGCATCATGGGAGCAATGTTAACAAAAAAAAAACGCTTTGTCATTTTAGAAGATGCACATCTAGAATTTTCTCAAAATGATTTTTGTGTGTGGAGTAGATGTTTTATGAAGACTACATTACAGGGTATGAAACTCCCCAAAATTTCAGCCAGACCACAGGACTGGCTAGCTGAAATACTTGCCAGCCCTGACCAAAACCTGCCTGCCCACTATAATCATATGTTTCTCAGGATAAGCTAGCGGGGTTTCTTTTTGGTTACATTTTATCATTCATCTTTACATGTGAATAAATGCTTATCATTGGGAAATATTTAGAATTTTTTCACATATGAAATATAACCTGACCGTCGGGCAGGGGGATTTGAAAATCTGGCAGCCCGAGTTGAAATCAACCCGTCTCGGACGGTCGGGCAGGCAGGTATTTCGAACACTGCTACATTATTATCATTGTAACGGAGTCACGTGCGCATATTTCTATAGTCCGTTTCAGACTGCCATCATTGGACTTAGAATAAATGTGAACTTCATGTTTTCGTTCGAATTTGTCACCTGTAAACTTGTCGATAGGACTCCTTGTGACTGAAATACTTCAAACCACAGGTAGGGCGATCGGTAGTTATTCGATATTTCAATAACAACAGTGAAAAATTATATCCCTTTTTAACAGGCAAAAAACAGTTTTCTAGCATTTCTGACAGTACTTTATTTCAAGTTCATTCTTGGAATTGGTGTTCCAGTTTTCTAAGGAGTTGCTTCCCTTAACTTTGCCAGTGTCTGCTGGTCTTGCATTCTTCTGGATTATGATGCTAGATTTGTCAGCACCATATTTGTGAGCATGGGTTTCATCACTGACCTAGCGTTTTACTCCCATACTAAGAAGCTCACTTGCTGTTATTATCCCCCACAACATGTTTTTAAACTATTTCTTTTTTAAACTTGTCCTGTTTTACTCCTTTATGCATTTACTGCTTGTTCTTGACAGAAAGAGCTGTGTCAGGTCTTGTTGAAGAAGTTGTCCCCACTGGTTGAGTGGCTGACCCTATCACACAGCTCCCATGTGAGCATGGTAGGGGTGATGTCACTGATCAGCACATTACTGCTGTCACCTGTTTTGAGTCTTTTGAGGTGTTTACTGTGATAAATATCACTTGTATTGTTTGTTCCAACTAGTCATTATGAATTCACCTTGTGGTCACGCATTTTCGTATCATGCTTTCTGCAATCTTTGTATTGCTTGGTACTTCAATTCATTCTCGTACCCTATTGATATTATAGTTATTAAACTGGTGGTGTTTCACGTTCTTTGCGCAAACCTGTTATTTATAAATCCATATGGTTCGGATAAATTATTATAGCATACATTATTGTCTGAGAACACATTTTGATTGCACTCTGCTATCATTGCAGATGCATGTCCTGTTGTAGCAAGTGTCACGGAAATAAGTTGGGATGGGATCCTCATCTATTGTGTCTGAATTGCACCACCATCTGCGCCCAGACTCCCTAAGTATAAAGCTTGTCTGCCACTCTGCCCTTCAGCTTTCTCCAAATACCTGCAGGTATCTCGCAAAAGGCAGACACAGCAGGCATGAAAACGTTGTCTCCGCAAGAAAATGTCCGAGCCTACCACCCCCAAACCAGCCACGACCATTTCCTCTTCAGACATGGCATCTCTGGTGTTACACCGACGTCCACACCCACTTTGTTGAATACCACGTCCTCATGCACAATGACGCCCAGTGTGGCACTAACGACCCTGAGCTCGTCTCTTACCAGCTCTCCACTGACCTCCATCCTTCCTCTCTACACCTTCCCAGCTGCTTCATTCATCTGATGCAGACGATGTTCCAGCAAGCTATCCCTAGGCTTACAGCTCCTCCAGCCGTTGCTATGCTGTGGCGCCTCAGGTCTCAGTGACGCCCTCTGTCCCTCCAGTGGATTTTGGTGGCACCTGTACAATTGGCTCTTCCTCTTCTGACATACTATGTCTAGACATAGTGGGAATAAGTCATCCCAGTCCAGACCTAGGTCCCCTAGCCGCGCACCAGTTCAACGCGATAAAGATTATCAGAGGGTTCCTTCATCCCTACCTATGATGGCTCACTCGCTGACGTCGACTCATTTGGATCGTTTGGCTGCTGTAGCTCCTTCATCGGGTCCAGACGTGGACCAGAAGGACACTGTCTGGTACCATCAAACGTCCGTCCCCCATGACCCTATGAGCGAAGTACACGCCTTAGACATCACCCGTGTGAGATTTGAGCGCATGGAGTTTTACATCTTGGGCTGTGCTGGGACTTTAGCCAAGTATCAACTCCAAGGACTGCTGGATAGATCCTTCACCATCCCGATTCCTAGAGGAATTTCAATTATGTCCTGTGGGGACAGGTAGAAGTCATCTCCAACACAAATTACCCTGTGGCTTCACACCATCATGCTTGAGGCCTTTGAGGCCTATGAGGCTGCGGGACTGGATCCTCGGAGAGCCAACAACCCAAATGAGATCCGGGCGGTTGCCTCTACCATGGCGCTTCACAGCAAATGCTCCATCCGCATTGTTATGGAAGGCTGCTTCTGACGCTCAGACACCGTCTTCGCCAGCCGCTACCTTTGAGATGTAGCCCTTGAAGACAGCTTCCCTTTGGTGGTTGCCCAGGAGGTCACGTCCCTGGATGCCACTGCTACTTCCACATCTCCAGAGCCAACCTTTTGACCTTTCCTGTGTGTGTTGCCCCAGATTAGAGGGTTACATGATATACGCATACCTGACTGTCTCCTTCCTTGCCAACAAGAAATTTACTCGATGCCAGATCACATCTGAAGGTATGCCCTCCACTGTACTGTCAGATGCAGATGCAAAATATTGGCTGCACAGGTTTGAAACACTGTATTTTCAGTTATTTTGAATATTAAATAAATTCAAAGAGAAAACTTGAGAACGTGCTCCAGTTATTTATTTTGGGTAAGTCGGGAGATGGCTCTTCACATCATGATATCCAGTAAACAACCGTAAAAAGAAGTTTCAAAGTCTCTGTTTGATGTGTTTGTAACCTCATGAGTGACTGTTCTAGTGGTAATTGTGAAGAATTTGTTCTGCAAGTTCACTGCATTCAGACCACCGGTGTATTTCACTAATTTCATGAACTTTTGTTTCCTCGATTCAAAATGATTTGCAGCCAGTTCTAAAAGAATTAAGTTTTCCACTTTTATCAAACACAACTGCTGTCGTGCACTTGTGGTGGGAAATGTTACCTGCAATGGGTGCAACCTGGCAATAAAAGTAACCTGCACTAGCAATGTTTTACCTGTACTGGTGCAGCTTAGATATAGCGAAATCGATCCCTGAGATACAAGGAGTAATGCAGGATAAGTTACAAAATCTCGTAAAATCTAGGTATTTTTTATATTTGTATACTTATCCTGCATTACTACATCTAAAGTGGCCCTCGCAGAGCTGCCTCCCCACGAGACCTTCAGATGCTCTGTTTTTAGCAGTAATGTGCTGATCAGTGACATCAGCACTTCAGTGGTCAAATGGGAGCTGTCTTGTAGGGCCAGCCACTCAACCAGTGGGAACAACTTCAACAAGACTTCACACAGCTCTTTTTCTGTCAAGAACAAGCAGTAAATGCATTGAGGAGTAATGCAGGATAAGTATACAAATGTACAAACAAGGTTTCCATGGCAACAAATTTGACTGAGACTGAAAATGGCAGTAGTAGTGCTCTTTTCTGGAACAGATCTTGAAGACTGTACAATATTTCTTCACCAAACATGGTGCGAAGAGAGTCTAGTGGTGAACTGGTGCTAAATGATTGTTTAGAATTTTTTACAAATTTGCGACAAGTTTCATATATTTATTCACGACAAGTATTTACCATTGCGAGAGATATCAAGGACTTCGTTCTCTTGTTTAATTTGTAGCCGAGGAACCATTTTTGGTTGACCTTACATCTGATGGGAGACTCATTTTCTTGTTCCATTAATCACATCTTGGTGAATTGTACGCTTGTGTACTGTTGGATCACATCATGCCAACATGTTCTACCATGTTTCTGAATTTAGCTGTCCAAGCCATATTTTACCTGTCAGTATTCAGTGTAGAATGTATATTGTGACAGAATGGAGGTATGGTTTCTGGTGGAGATGTTTGTGACTGCATGTTTTGTCTTCTCCAGATGATCTGTTATGCACAGTTGGACAGAGTGGAGGAGATTGTACCATGGTTCCGATACCTTCTCAAGGACGAAAGAGCCAATTTGACATGGAAGAATAGGATATTCTCTGAAACAGTGAGTACATGACGGCATCTGCACATCCTCTCTATCAGACAGTTTCAGATGCAGACTGTAAGAGTGAGGCTAGAGAGACAGCCTGGCATGGGGGAAGACATCATTTTCATCTGTGCTGGTGGAAGTGCCCCCCCCCCCCCCCCCCCATTATGCATTCCTCATTATCGTTACAGTAACTGGTGCCTTTTCCTATTTTAAAGTTTTGCTAAATTTTATTATCCCTGCCATGAAGTGGAAGGGGATATAGGAATGGGTGCTGTCTGTCTGTCCTTCCGTCCATAAAAGGCGACTATGCTTGTCGTAAGAGGCAACTAATGGTATCGGGTGGTCAAGCCTGCTGACTTGGTTGAAGCATGTCATCGATCCGAATTGCATGGATCGATGCTCATGATGCTAATCACTGGATTGTTTGGTCCAGACTCGATTATTTACAGACCGCCATCATATAGCTGTAATATTGCTGAGTGTGGCGTAAAACAAACCAACCAACCTTAGTACAAAACACCCCTATACATGTGTACCGAAACCATGCTTATGGAGGATTGAATGCCTAACCTGAATTACTGGAATAAAGATAATAATTGAAACAGATTTGATTTTTCCAAATATTCATTCACTTCAAAACGTTATGTAAAAAGAGTTGAAAGTAAATGGGAAATTTTGTTTGAATAATAGGAAACAACATTTCTTGCAGAAATAACTTGTTTGGCTTGACCATTGTAACATATGATTTCCTTCCTAGAAGCCAATAGCATGAAATTCAAATGAATGTGTTGAGTATTTGATTCTTGTGAAGAAAGGTCCCAAAGACCCAAAGCTTGTAGTAACAGATGACTGAAATTGGGATTGGGTCCTAACATTGTGTGACCAGATTGGGGTGTTTCATTGTACTCACTAACCCCTGTTGGAACTCTTCCCCCAGATCAGTGCAGTGGAAGAGGCGTTGGCGAGAGGCAGTGTGGAGCTGAAGCAGCATATCTTGCCTCTTATTGACAGTCTCCGGGCAGATGGCTTCATCAGGAACGATCCCCTCCGAGCCTTCCTGGAGGCACCAGTCACCAGGATGTTGAGGACTTCAGATAATTTTCAGCAACGCAATCGATCATTTAACTTCAGTGGTCCACGGTCAGACAATATGGAGAGCCAAGGGGATTTCAATAAAACATTTTGAGAGAAATATGAAGAGTCAGGATGTGGTCCTTCAGTAGAACAAGAGTGTATGAAGAGAAATGACAATGTAGAACAGGTTTTAGACTGTCCACACATAAAGGACACCTTGTGTTTTGATGAATGCTGAATAACTCAGTCTTCTGTTCCTCTTGCTTCTGTGAGAATCATCAGTGCTATAAACATTGCCATCCCTTTGTCCATCAGCAGCTTCAGACCAAAAGCATGACACTTTGTCTGGATAGATATATATCATGATATGTCATTGAAATGAATGTTATGTAAAGACCACATTTAGGAAACAAGACTTTTCATCATTTTATAGACCATCAGCCATCCAGTAATTTTGATTTGCAGAATAAGGCTTAAAAAAAAATTAATTGGTTCTCAGGCAATGGCTTTTGAAAATATAGTGTTTTTTCTTTTTGGTTGTTCAAACTAGTAACCAAATAAACAGTTGTGTAGAATCAACATTGGGAAGACCTTCGTGCATAAATGTATTCCTTGATGAGTAATCTACTGGAATACAGTATTTGACTACTGTTGGACTACCAGTAAGTGCATAAAACACACATACAATGAGCTTTGTTTTTATTTCACAACACGAAGACGTTATGGTCAGCACACATCGGAAGAAGCATGTCAACAAATCCGTACTGAAGTATGCAAGTTAGTCCTGTTATGACGCTTTCTGGCTATAAAAGCATTCATTGTGTATCTGGACTTACATTTGTAATCCATTGTTACTTTTATCCAAGATTTCATTAAATTTTGTGTGCATTAATTTCAGTGAAGTGTATGAACAAATCAGCAAATCACATCAACTCACCATGAACTTGCCTTGAAACAAATATTAGTCATCAGAGATACATTGTCTTCAGTCTTTCTGTCACTGTATTGAAATTTCTTTTCAGTTATGATATTGGCAATTACATTAGGTATTTTCTGAACTAAAGCACCCATAGCTTGGATAGATAGGAGAAAATGTGTGAACAGTTGATTGCTATTTCTGGATTTTTACGATTACTCATGTAATCTTAATCACTGTGTATGAAACATTATCCGGCATACAGTGCACAGATACCATTGAAATTGCAAGTCATTGTGTCTAGTAATGTTTTATCTAAATGCAGAATTTTTTAGGACTTCTTATTTTTGAAAATGGAAATAAAAATGAAAAGTGCAGTGGACTTAATGATAATAGGGAGAACCAGACTATTATTTTTTTAGCCTAAGGTATGTTTGTTTTGTTTGGCATGCCATGTATGAGTGATATTTCCAGCTTGTATTTTGTAGCTGTATGCCCCTAATCTTCTACACCTTTATACAATATCATACCTTAAGTGACTTTTTAGCAAGGGAAGACAAATTCTTGTCAAGGTAGAACATTTTGTCATCTTCTATAAGTTGTCATCAAGGGTGAAGCTTGTGATGTCTTGTCCACGTCTTTGGATATGTGATAATGTTTGGGAGAATGGAAGATTCCCAATGTTGCACTTCACAGTAGCTGGAGAGGTTAAATGGTCGATGAAACAAGAAACATATTCATGTTCCACAACAATGTTTCCATCACCACCACATTCTGTATGAGATAATGTTTACTGAGGTATGTGTACTAGTCATACAATCTCTTCGTTTGTATGGATGGAGATTGTGTGATTGTGTCAGAACAAGGTGTCATCTCATGGTAAAATCAGTTTGTTGATGTCATATGTTGTATGATAGAGAGACTTGATGGGACCTGTTCTAAGTATGTAACATTCATATAAGTTTTGTTATTGCATTGGACAGATTAAACTATTGTGTGAAGTATGTTTGTGATGGTTATAGTTTTAGATCACCTGGCCCATAAGGCTAAGAATTGTGAGGGGTCTGTCACACCTCTGAAACTTTTGCAGATGTTAAGCCATTGATCGTTCTTGAGCTTGTGATTGTGGTATATCATTGCTTCAGAGACCTGTATCATTGCTTCAGAGACATTATCCACAGCAGGAAAGACTTAAGACTTGCCAAGTTCTGGTTGTCCATGTGTGATGTCACTTCCTCCACACAACTATATTTTGGCATCTACAGAATCTATACCAAACAGCTAAATTAACAGCTCAGACAATTCCTGATTTGAGACTTATTACTGGCAGAACCCAAGGCAACAAGTTGAGGAAGCACAACATCCAGCCCCGACGTAGAGCGATACGCCCAATTATACTTCCAGGTCACCGTCTGGTATGCCTCCTGACAAGACTGGGACAGTATTCTGTTCACAGATGAGTCCAGGTTTCAGCTGGATAGCTCTGATGGTCCTGCAAGGGTCCACAGTTGTCCGGGAGAACGTTTTAAAGAGGCTTGCATTACTCAACATTGTCAGTTTAGGGGTGGAAGTATAACGGTATGGGGTGGCATCACAACTCTTTTGGATAAACAACACTCATCATTGTGAATTGTCAATGTCGTGCCACCCCAAAATAGTCACACTTCTAAGCATGTATGTAGCCCATTTTTTAAAATTGTGAGCCTTTGTATATCTTATACACATCTATTTTGACCAGTACAAGTAGTGCCACACCCATCCCACAAGACCCTTGAAGATCCGGGGTAGAATAGGTCTTCAACAACCCATGCTTGCTGTAAAAGGCGACTAACGGGATTGGATGGTCAGACTCGCTGACTTGGTTGGTCATCGATCCCAATTGCGTTGATCGATGTTCATGATGTCAATCACTGGATTGTCTGGTCCAGACTTGATTATTTACAGACCGCCGTCATATAGCTGGAACATTGCTGAGTGCCGTGTAAAACGGCAAACCAACCAAGTCATCCCACAGAGGCACGGAGGGGGATTTTATTATACTTCGTGACGTTTTGTTTTTTTGGAAGATAGAAATAATCTTGTACAAGGGGTTTTCTCAAATTCATGCAAATCCTGTGTTTCGGCCGTACTCGCAGCAATATAAATTCTTCAGATTTGCAACAAAAGTCCTGTGTACTGTCAACTATCCACAGCCAGTTTAGATACCGATAGTATCTCCCTTCCTTAACCTCTGCGGGGGCACGGGTGGCCCAGTCGTCTTAGGCGATGCGATTAGCTGTGCATAGTTGCGTCCCCTGGGCACGCCAGAAACCTACGATTGTGGGTCCGAATCCCGGTTCGTCCCGATTGTTTCTAGGTTTGTCAGCACCATACCCGTGCTCGTGGGTTTCACCGAAGTGGTACACTCTGAGACCTGCATCACTTGGGGCGTTTCTCCCACATTAAGCTGACACGCCGTGATATAACTGGAATAATGTTAAAAGCGGCACTAAACCCAACTCACTCACTCACTCGCTCACTTAACCTCTGCACATACACAGCCTGAAAATCTTCACTTCATTCCTGTTTGTGATACTGTCAACATCAACTTTTTTTCAGAGTTGTCATAGCTCGAAAGTTGGTCGTTGGTCATGGGAAATGTTGATGCTGGAAGTAGGTGGCGTTGCTGATTACGCAGCTGCTGATCCAGTCAGTTAGAACCCTCTCAGGACGCAGAATGACAACCCCATACAGACGCCAGGCCTCAACTTTCAGACTGTTGAAAGAGTTAATGAAGGAATGCAAGAGAGCATGCGGTCCATGCTGGACAAGCAATTTGGTGTGATCTCATCAAACATGGCTTCTATCCAGACAGAACAGCGGACGGCCTCTTAATTGGGAGAAAGAATCAAGTCCGCGTGATTCGGATACAAGGCAAGGAACTCATATCCACCTAACTCAGGATACGACATACGTCCAGACCCGTGAAGATCCGGGGTAGAAGAGGGGTCTTCAGTGACCCATGCTTGTCGTAAGAGGCGACTAACGGTATCGTGTGGTCAGGCTCGCAGTCTTTGTTGATGCATGTCATCGCATCCCAATTTCGTGAATCGATGCACATGATGTCAATCACTGGATTGTCTGGTCCAGACTCGATTATTAACAGACCTCCGCCATATAGCTGTAATATTGCTGAGTGCAGCGTTAAACAACAAACAAAACTAACAAGTGTATTTTCACATGCAGCGTGTGTGGGCCAGATCGTTCACCAAAGAAGGTGAGTGGACCCGTTGAACAACACTTCCATGGGACCTTTGACGGTAATTACCGCGGACAACAAGATTACACAGAGTAACAGCAAGCGACCAGTTAGTGCCACAGTAACCTCTACAAATATCATGGTGACCTCGGATTCTAACCCAATGTCTGTTCACCTGGTAACACAGTCAGGTGGAGGACAGGAGGCCGTGCTGCAATGCACAACGGGCTGCACGTGCCACATGTACCAACCATTGACAACTCATTCTCGTGTTATGACCTAGCGCTTGGAAGCCTACAGATTCTGATCAACAAATGACACCACCGATGCAGGGTTCAAGGAACAATCCTGCAGTCCCGGAGCAGAGTGACGTTAACTCAGGACCCGCATTCAAAAAGTTAATTAAAGAACTTTATCATCTAAAGCTTGAACCTCCATTGAAACGTCGAACGTATCACACTCATGACTCTGTTAAGTATCGTGACATGACTATTGCGATTCCATTAGCTCCATGATTTAGGATATGTACTGTGCCAATCGACATGCAATGGATAACGGTTTCCAAGGTCGGTTAATTGGACTGTTTAGTGAAGATTCAGAGGGAGCTACTCGCCACCCAAATTTGGATGTCCACGTCGTAAATCTGGATTCAGCTCTCCTAAATTCGATCGAAGGCTAAAGTAAACTAAAACCTGATTACTTCAGTGACTGAAAACGCAAAGAGGTATGTGTTTGCTTGAACAGTCTCATTGTTTTTGCGCGTTGTGAATCTTTTGATACATGTCACTCCTTGATCTCTCGTTTCAGAAACACGAGTCTAAGTCATATCAGCAAATATTTGATCCCGGTCTCTTACAATGCCTTAACTGGTGTTCAATGTTCTGTGAGGAGAGTCCAGATACTTCAACAAATGTATCTGTTGACAGCAGGTTGGCGGCTTGTTGTTTTCCATTACATTCGATTAATGGGGATCCTGTGTGCAAGCGTTTAATGTATTAAACATCTGCAATTTGAATTGTCAGTCTACAATGACCTTTGTGGAAGTGACCATTTCCCAACAATCATTTCACCAATAGATCCATCTGATATTCTACCTTCTAACGACATGGAACTTTACAACGGCTGGCTGGTCTTTATTTCAGACTGGCTGGTCTACATTATGCACAAATAAACTAAAACCTGATTACTTCAGCGACGTCACTGATTCTATTCAGGCTGTTCTGTCGTTTTAAATGAGATTGCTGATGAATGTATACCATCGTCCTCTACAAATCAACATATACGTGAAGCATGATTTAACGCCGATTGTAAACAAGCTAGGAAAAAAGGTAGAGAAAATTTCTGCCATCACCCAACTGTCTATAGCGTAAATGAATTAATTTTTTAAAATGCTAACAAACAAAACACCTATGTCTAAAGTTTGGAATATGGTGCAAAGGATAAAAGGTAAAGGATTCGAAACTAGTCTTTACCATCATAATTTTAATTCCGATAATGGTGAGGATTATAATGAAATATACTCGCACGCAAAAGAAACGCAAGTCGAGCATGCAGTATACATGTTATTTATTTTCAACAGTTAAGACAAGAAATACTAATAGGGCAAGATTGACAAAAATTTGACTGAAGACAGTTTAATGGATTAAAAGGCAGATGACATAATTGTTTTTTTCAAATGTTAAGGGCTTACACAGTTTCGGGTCAATACCCAAAATGTCAGTCAATACCTGGTGTGACCACCATTAGCATTGATCACTGCCACACATCTCCTGTACATTGAGTGGATCAGACGATTTGTGAAGGCCCTAGGGATCCTCCTGCACACATCCAGAGCAGCTTTGCGTAGTTCATCGGCAGTTGTAGGGACTGGGCGCACATTGTGCAGACGCCTTTGAACCTCACCCCACAAGTGTTCGATGGGGTTCAGATCAGGGCTGAGGGCTGGCCACGGTAGAACACGGATGTTGTGTTGTTGCAGAAAGGCCATGGTAGCTCTGGCAACACGGGGACGAGCGTTGTCCTGCTGGAAAATGTATTGTTGATGTGCAAAAAATGGAACAACGTGGGATCTGATCACTTGGTCGATATACCGCTGAGCAGTGACGCCGTGTCCCCGACCTTGACCAACATTCAGAAAGCACATAGGTCCAAGTCTCGCATTAGGTCTAATTCCTGCCCATATCATGACGCTAGGTCCAACCCATGGATCCCTTTCCACAACGTTTCTGTCAGCGAAACGCTCACCTCGACGCCGCCAAATTCTGACTCTTCCGTCTGCATGGGAGACACAAAAGCGATAATATTCATTATCAGTAACTTAAACATTTACCTGATTCATGCGTTTAAACATTGTTAAATATATTCAATCACATATGGACAACGGCAAATTCTCCGTCATCGTGGCAAAAAGCTGTTATCGTTCTTACACCTAAACCTGGACGGGATAATACTGATCCTTCCAGTCATAAACCAATATCGCTTCCTCGCTGTGTTTGTAAGACCTTGGAAAGAATGGTCAATAAGAGATTAATATGGTACTTAGAAACAAATGATCTTATTACAAATGTACAATGTGGTTTCAGAAAAAATAAAAGTAACATCGGCCATTTTGTTAGATTGGAAACGTTTTAGAATGCCATCATCAATGAACAACACACCCTATCTATACTGAACAACAAAAGTTCCTGTGACATTGAATAAGATTTAATGCAAAGTTATGTTTTTTATCAAATCTGAAACAATTTCGGTTTGCAACAGATAAAA